GTTCATTTTTCTTTTTTTTTTTTTTTAATTAATTAATTTATTTTGAGAGAGAGTGCACAAGCTGGGGAGGGACCAGAGAGAGAGAGAGGGAGAGAGAGAGAATCCCAAGCTGTAAGTGCGGAGTCCGACGCAAGGCTTGATCTCACGAACCATGAGATCATGACCTGAGCCAAAATCAAGAGTCGGACCCTTCATTGATTGAGCCACCCAGGAGCCCCAGGGAGAGTTTTCGTAAAGGCAGGAGTGACATAGACACCCTTAATCTCTCAACCTCAGGGCGACTAAGGTTGTGAGTGTGTGCGCCCAGGACTTCTTCCTTCTGGCCCCAATTTGGATTCCTAGAAAGTTGGATGATTTGGTATACCTTATGCTCTCCTGCAAGGAGTACATTGACTGCTCACGTATATTTTCACACTTTTAAGATCTTTTAACTCCTTTTACCCCATAGTGGAATTAATCGGAGGATGTAGACAGCAGAATTCAGTGTAGCAAGGGTTCCTATAAGGAGTCTCTTTTGGTAGCAAGTGGCAAAAATTCAGTTCAGCCTTCGGGTCTGTAACACGTGGAAATGTATCGGCTTATGAAACTGGGAAGATGAACTCCACAGATGTACTTTTCGCTTCAAGCTTTACTGGATACAAATAATCTTATCAAGACACGGTCAGACACGGTCGGTCACGGTCGGTCTCCGAGGTCTGCCTTTCTCTGTATTAGCTGTCTTCTCAGCAAGTGGTTTCCCTCAGAGTGCCAACTGATTAGCCGGTGATCCCATGGGGAAAAGCATGTTCGAGGAGGGAGTGGGGGCCGCCTGGCTGGCCTAGTCGGTAGAGCATGTGACCCTTGATCTTGGGGTTGTGAGTTCGAACCCCACATTGGGTGTAGAGATCGGAAGGAAGGGAGGAAGGCAGGCAGGCAGGCAGGCAGGCACGCAGGCAGGCATGCCTCCTAGTTCTAACAAAAGCTCCTGGGAGGGCTGAATGGTCAGGCATGAGTCACTTGGATGTTCCTGAATCAATCACAGTTCTTATGGCTAGGAGGGTTTGATACTCTGACTAGACAGGCACGGGTCATATGGAAACGTGAGGTGATAAAGAGGGGTTGTGGAGTGCATCACCCACAATAAAGAAACTTTCTTTTCCAACACAAAGAGGGGGGTTAGGAAAAGTATGGTGGGCAGGCAAACTAAAATTACGAGAGTCGACTACATTTCCTGAGAGAAATAGCTTGTACGTACTCATGCCCTAGTCTTGTGTCCTGCAGGGGTGATTGCACTGGCCCATAGCTCCTTGAATCAATGCATTTATCACATTTAAAAGCTGAAAGCATTTATCACCTTGGGAGTGTGGTGAAAGAATTCCCAGGGTCTCTTTGGTTCCACACATATATCACCTTATTCTGCGAAAGCATTTGGATGTGATTTTTTTTTTTAATTTTTTTTGTCAACGTTTTTAATTTATTTTTGGGACAGAGAGAGACAGAGCGTGAACGGGAGAGGGGCAGAGAGAGAGGGAGACACAGAATCGGAAACAGGCTCCAGGCTCTGAGCCGTCAGCCCAGAGCCCGATGCGGGGCTCGAACCCACGGACCGCGAGATCGTGACCTGGCTGAAGTCGGACGCTTAACCGACTGCGCCACCCAGGCGCCCCTAGATATGATTTTTAAGTGGGCCCAACAAAATGCCATCGATTTCTCCAGCTAATAAAGTGTTCAAGAGTTGGTAAAGGGTCAAGCTCTCGTGACTGTGCCGTTAGAACCATGAGAATAGATTGTTTTAAAGAAACCCTCACCTCTTATCCTCAGCAGAAGCAGCTCCGTACTTAGAGATGAATTTGCCTTAGATGCTACTGGTTCCCATTCTATTTTCATGGTGGAATTAATGTTCTTTATTTGCATTTTTTTGAACCGTGGCAAGATTTGCATTTCGGCTTACCTAGTCCCTTACGTAAAGATCACTAGCTGAGAGTTTAAAAATGGCCACTCAGATATGATCAAAAAGATAGTCGGGTATACTCTGTGGTGAACTTTGAGCTAATTCAAACATTGCTCCACAATTCTAAATATTGACATTAGATGGTTGGCCTCCTATTCACAAGCAACTGTGTTAGCTATGGAGTTGGTTTAAAGACTTGGTGTGTGTTAAGAGACTATAGCTTTTCCCTGAATGTAAGAAGCCTGCTCACCTGCGATCTCCCCTTTAACCATGGTATCTCTTCCTCCCCCTTTTTTCCTTTCTTTGTTTCTTTTGTTTTTGCCAAAACAAGGCAAGGGAGAAGTAGAGGAGAAGAGTTTGATGGTCATGTCAACTTTCTTCCTTCCCTACAAATCTCTATCAATAAGCTTCCATTTTCTTCAAGTTTATTGATTTTGAGAGAGAGGAGGGGAGTGGGCAGAGAGAGAGAGAGGGAGAGAGAGAATCCCAAGCGGGCTCCACACAGCACAGAGCCCGATGCGGGGCTCGATCCCACGAACCCAGAGATCATGCCCTGAGCGGAGATCAAGAGTCAGATACTTAACCGAGCTACCCAGGCGCCTCTAAATAAGCCCCAATTTTTACAAGCTGTTGAGAAAGTCGCAAATGTGGACGTTGCCAAGACACAGAGACTAGAGTATTTCACAGTGTGTCCTTCATCCATTCAATGAATGTTTATTGAATACCAACTCATGGCCATGCTCTACACTAGACGCTAATATTACTGCGAGCACGAAAGACAAAGTCTCTGACTTTGTAAGACATTCCAGGGGGGACAACAGACATAAACTAAAACAGGATAAGGGACAGGGAAGTATAGCCTGCTATTTTAGACATGGTGGTCAGTGAAGGCTTCTTTAAGGAGGTAACTTTTTTTTTAATTTTTTTTTCACGTTTTATTTTATTTTTGAGACAGAGAGAGAGACAGCATGAACGGGGGGAGGGGCAGAGAGAGAGGGAGACACAGAATCGGAAGCAGGCCCCAGGCTCCGAGCCATCCGCCCCGAGCCCGACGCGGGGCTCGAACTCGCGGACCATGAGATCGTGACCTGAGCTGAAGTCGGATGCTCAACCGACTGAGCCACCCAGGCGCCCCTAAGGAGGTAACTTTTAAGCAGAGATTAAATTAAGGGAGAAAGTTAGCTGAGCACTCCAGGCAAGGAAACCAGCAGGCCGGAAAAGCCCCGGGGTGGGGAAGTGCTTCGTGTTCCGTGGACAGTGAGGAATCCACTCCCATTAAATGAGAGAATCCTCCACAGTGAGGCTGGAGAAGAGGCCAGAAGCCAGAGCACACAGGGATCGTAGAATGTAGCCGTGAGTTTGGATTTTACTCTAAACGTCACGGTAAGCCGTTAGAAAGTTTTGAGCAGGAAGTTAACACGGTCAAGACACCTTCTGAAAGGATCGTGAACCGCTCGGTGGAGAAAAGGCTGTATGTAGCCAAGTGTCTCAGTAAGGGTCTAGTCACGGAGAGAGAGAAAGCACTCTACTTTATTTCAGGCAGAGGGAATTTTCAGGGGAACAGATTTTCATACACTCTGGGCCCCTGCAGTGCAGTATAAATGGGCAAATGTAGACACGAGAAATCACATCTATACCAAGAATCAAGAGTGGAAGCAGGGAACCCAGGAGGATGCTGGTGCTAAATACATGATGCAGGTGACATGATATGGCTTGGACTAGGGTAAAAGTGGTTGGAGTCAACATATTTTTGGCAGACAGGGTCAAAGAGGACTCGAGAATGATTGCAAGGACTCTGGCCCCAGGAAACGGGCTAAAGGGTGTACCATTTATGAGACAGGGAACACTAGAGGGGGATGTGCACTGTATTTGCTTGGTGGATGAGGGTAAATGGAAAGTTCCAATTAAAGTTGACTGAAGATGCCCTTTATACATTCATAGAGACGAACAGGATGTAGCTGAACGCAGCCATTCGGGTCTGGAGGAGAGGGTGGGACCAGAGATGGAATGAAAGCCTCAGATGACCATCCATGGGCTTAGAGGAGGAAGTTGGAACTCTGGAAAGGGAAGAAGTCCAAGGACTGGCTCAGCAAAAAAACCAAAACAACAACAAAACAAAACAAAAACCCAGACGGCTCAGCCAGGAAGGTGAAAAGAAAACCAGCACAATGCAGGGAGACGGAAAACAAGCCAAGCCAGGGTCTCCAGAAGATGGGCATGCTCGGTTGTGCCAGCCGTCGCTGAGCAGAACGAGAAGGGACCTGAGGATTACACATTGGATTTGGCACCCAGCCGGTGGGGAGGCACACTGGGTGGCGTGGGTTCCCTCTCTGGGGAGATCGGCCGCAGAGGAGAACGGAAAAAACGGGAAGGTGGCTGGCGGCTGATAAGCAGCCGAGGGACATTGCTCTTAGGGGATGGGCGATGATGACGTTTGCACAGCGCCGGCGAACTGGACGGCTGCACGGCCAGCACCAGCTTGGATGAGGTCCTGGCTTCCTGCCCTCTGGGGACGTTCGTCGGAGGGCCTTCTGCCAACCCGTCCTCGCAGCTCGCAGTCGGGCAGCGAACAGCGAGGGCCGAGGACGAGGGTGCTGCGCCACCTCCCCCGGCGGCGGCCTCGGGGCCCAGAGCGCTAAGGCGGCGCGCGGGGTGCTGGCGCCCGCTCTCCACGGACGCCGAGAGGCCGGGCCCGGCATTGCGCGGCGCCGGACGCCCCCGCCTCTGTCCCCTCGGCCACCTCTGAGAGCCACAAAATGGAGGCGGGAGGGAAAAGCGATGGCGAAAGCGCCGGGGCCCGTGGGCCGCGTTCCGCCGGCTGTCGGGGAGCTTCCTGCCCCGCGCCGGGCTCTCTCGGGCGCCCAGCCCCTCGCCCTCCGCGTCTCGGCCCACTTCCCGGCCACTCCCCGTCCCCCGTCTGAAGCCACCTCGCCAGCACGCGCACCCCGACGCCCCACCCCTCCCCCGGCCCCCGGCGGCCGCAGCCCCCCCCCCCCCCCCCCCGGGCTGGATCCCCGGAGCGGCGTCCGGCCCGCCGAGGTCACGTGGGGGCGCGTCAGCCAATCGGCGCGCGGCGGCGGGTCCAGCCCAGCCCCGTCCGGCCGCTGTTGGGCAGTGGGACGCGGCGGGTGCGGAGAACGCGGCGGAGCGAGCGAGCCGGCGGGCGGGTGAGCGAGGTAGGGCTCCGGGCCGTCGCAGAGGGTCGCCGGGTGGGCGGGGAGGGGGACGGCGCCCGCCAGCCGCTGCATCCCTCCGGCCCGCCACGCCCCCGCGGCGCTGCCCGACCTCCGCTTTCCCCTTAGGACAAGGCCATGGACAGCAAGATCCAGCGGGTTCGCGACGCGTTCGCGTCCGGCCGGTCGCGCCCCCTGAGGTTCCGGCTGCAGCAGCTTGAGGCCCTGCGCAGGATGGTGCAGGAGCGCGAGAAGGACATCCTGGAGGCCATCGCCGCCGACCTGTGCAAGGTACGCGCCCCGCGGGCGGAGCCAGGACACCCGCCTACCTCTGGGGAACCGCATTCCACCGGTGCTTTTGCTGCCCTTTTTTTTTTTTTTTTTAATTTATTTTTGATTATGCAAGCACTGTGGGAGTATTGTCTCCAGCAGTCGTGATAAGGCAAATTTCCATGGACTTTCCCGATCTTCTTACCTTGCAGATACAGAGAAATAAAGACACATGTGTCTTCTGGCCTCTGTTGCTCTTTTGTGAATTGCCTTTTATATTTTTGCCCGTTTTTCTGTTGCATTTATGGTTCTTTGCTTTGTTATTTGTACGAATCTTTTGTGTAGTGTGGATTTTGGTAATTTGTCAGCTTAGTACGTTGTTTATGTTTTTCCTCGGGTCTATTTGTTTTTGTCTTTTTACGATTTCTTTCGTAGACAGAGGTTTTTCGGCTGTCGTTGTTGCACTAAAATTTTCCTCCTTGACTTTGTGTTAGGCCAGTGTTCCTCAAACTCCAGTGTCTTGATGAGTCACTTGGGGATCTTGTTAAGATGTAAGTTATGGTTCAGCAGGTCTTGGAGGGCACCTGAGAGTCTTAACAAGCTCCCAGGTGATACCATGCTTCCTGTTTGGGAACTACCCTTTTTTAAAATTTTACTGTTTTTTAATTGCAGTTTAGTTGCTGTACAATATATTAGTTTGGGGTACAACACAGGTGCACAGTACAGCTTATTTCATTTAGCATAATATTCTCTAGGTCCATCCATATTGTCACAAATGGCAAGATTTCATGTTTTTTTTTTTTTATGGCTGAGTAGCACTCCATAATAAATACATATGTGTGTGTGTATATGCCACATTTCCTTTATCCATTCATCTACCAGACACTTAGGTCACTTTCATGATGTGGCTGTTGTAACTAATGCAGTGAACACAGGGATGCGCGGATCTTTTTGAGTTCGTGTTTTCATTTTCTTCAGCTAAATACCCAGAAGTGGAATTCCTGGATGTTGTGGTATTTCTGTTTTTAATAGCATACAAACCCTAAGATTAGCTCATAAATCTCTGTCATGTTTGGCCCAGGCGCTTTCCAGACTGCTACCTCTGTGCTGGGTCTCAGAGGGAGTGAGTTTGCATGCTGGCAGTATAAGAGCTGAGTTTCCTGTAGCCCTGCGGTTGTTAACTAACCCCATCCCAGTTAAGTCCCGCTGATCTTTAAAGCCTGAGTTATTATAGAGGCCCCTCTTGCTGGTGCAGGTTCCCAGGGCGAGGACACCTGATGTGCAGCTTGAAGCCCTCCCTTTTCAGGGAGGATCTTCATACCTGTGATATCCTTGTTGTTTGTGGGGCCCGGTGCCAGGGTGTGGGTTCCGTCTGGACCGCATCTCTGCCCCTCCTACCCCTCTCCGTGTTGCTTTTTTCTTTAGGACTTTAGCTGTGGACGACGTGTCCTGTGGGTCCTTAGGTCATTCTCAGACAGTTACTGTATATGCACTTGTAGCCAGGGAGTGTCCATGGGAGGAGTTAGACCTCAGGATCCTCCTCTGCCATCTTCAACGAGAAGACCCGGAACCACTCTTTGAGTTGCAAGGTTTGGAGTAGCCTTTAGGGTGCAGATATATCAGTCTATATTTTCTAATACTGTTTTCATTTTGTTTTTACGTTTTAACGAATTCTAGGGACAGCCAGACCATGCTCTGGCTCTGTGGGTCTCTCTCACTTCCCCCAAAGATCTTTCCCCCCAAAGATTATTTTGAGGGGTAGTGACATCAGGAGTAGCAGTAACAACAGTAACTATATAAAATTTCCTTTCTAGGACTTTTGACAGAGAGAGGAGCCTGTGATGGCAAATAAACAAGGTGACGTAATTAAGATTTCAGAAAGGATCAGTCAGTCTTTCTGTAAGCATGAGATACTTACGTATGTATATATGTAGGACTACTGAAGAAATATACAGAAGTTCCTTGCCCTTGAGGGATTTCAATTTGGTAGACAGAACAAACACAGATACAATGTGAGTACGGTTATAAATCAGTGTCTAAGGGTATAATACCAAGATATACATCAGAAGCATAATTGGTTTATGAAGGTTGATCAAGGCAGGCTCATATTGATCATGGAAATGTTTCTGAATGAGACAGTGTTTAATCCTGACTTTAAAAGGCTTGGATCAGTAAAGCAGGATTTAGAGGGATTGAATATATTCGTGAGGGAGTTAGCAAATCCTCAGACCCTGAAGGTTACGAAAGGGATCTGAATGGCAAACCAGCTAGTCTGATAATGCCATTTGTCACAGCAGGTGTATCTGGCCTAGCTCTTCACGGCCGGGTGTGTCTTGCTCGGGCAAGATTAACTGTGATCCTCTTATAACAGAGTGAACTCAATGCATACAGTCAGGAGGTCATTACCGTTCTTGGAGAACTTGATCTCGTGCTGGAGAATCTTCCTGAATGGGTCGCTGCTAAGCCAGCTAAGAAGAATCTGTTCACCATGCTGGATGAGGCCTACATTCACTCAGAGCCCCTGGGAGTCGTACTGATTATCGGAGCCTGGAACTACCCTTTCGTTCTCACCATTCAGCCTCTGATAGGAGCCATTGCGGCAGGTCTGGCATCAGTTTCTCTCTTCATGACCTTGGGGACGGGCTCATCCTCTCACGTGGGTTGTGAATTAAGGATAGGGTCCAATTGAATACACGTGTTTGCTTTGGTGGTTTGCCTTTGTTTACACCAGCAGTGAACCGAGAATTAGAAAATAGTATCAATATATTTCTTAGCAAGTTTCAAACAGTTTCTTAAAGTGAAATTACAACTCTCAAGGTGGGAGAGCAGGCAGGTCCTCCCGTGAGGTGGAAACAGCCCTGGGCTGTTTGGGATTGGGTATTATTGGGTCTCTCCGGGCTGAGATGAGCCATGTTGTACAAAAGGATTTTATTATTTTTAAGACTTAAAAATAAATTTTTTTTTAAATGTTTATTTACGTTTGAGAGAGAGAGACAGACACACAGAGTGCGAGAGGGGGCGGGGCAGAGAGAGGGAGACAGAATCTGAAACAGGCTCCAGGCTCTGAGCTGTCAGCACAGAGCCTGATGTGGGGCTCGAACTCACGAAACATGAGATCATGACCTGAGCCAAAGTCGACGCTTAACTGACTGAGCCACCCAGGTGCCCTGAAGGAATTTTTTTTTAAGTAATCGCTACACCCAACTTGGGGCTCAGGCTCAACAACCCCAAGATCAAGAGTTGCACACTCTATCGACTGAGCCAGCCAGGCACCCTTTTGTTATTATTTTTTATTTAAAAAACATTTTTTTTTTCAACGTTTATTTATTTTTGGGACAGAGAGAGACAGAGCATGAACGGGGGAGGGGCAGAGAGAGAGGGAGACACAGAATCGGAAACAGGCTCCAGGCTCCGAGCCATCAGCCCAGAGCCTGACGCGGGGCTCGAACTCACGGACCGCGAGATCGTGACCTGGCTGAAGTCGGACGCTTAACCGACTGCGCCACCCAGGCGCCCCTTGTTATTATTTTTTAAATGGGCTCCAGAGATTTGCATGGTGACTGTTTTTTGTTTTGTTTTGTTTCGTTTCTTAATACCCGGAAAGTGAACCTGTGAGGTTCTAAAGTCGTGAGTTGATGGGCCCATGAGTTTGGAGTTCCAGTGGTTTCAGTTGCCGGCCGGCCGTGGCCTCGGATGAACCATCGGATTCAGTCTGATCAGTTTCCTCATTCAGATATGGGCCCCGGAAGTATTGCTGGCTTGAGTATACAGCAGATGCCAAGAGGTTGCTTTCTCACTTCAGCTGGATCCGGAGTGACAGCTTTAATTGATGAGGCCTGTTTGCCCAATAATTCCAAGGCAAACAGGAAAGTCTAGTCGTGAGAGGGGGAGGAAACCGAGAGAAGAGCTGGAGCAGTCAGGGAGGATGGTGGAGCCCGTCGTCAGTGACGTGAAGGGAATGAGAACCAAGGCGTTTGCATCTGAGGAAGTCAGACGTACTCACTGAGGAACAGCAGATTTGGAGGCCAACTCAGCACCTAGCCTGGATCCCCCTCCCCGCCTCCCACGGGCACCGTTTTCATAGGTATTAAGGTTACTCGGGTATTAAATGGTGCTGTTCTGCCTTTTTTGCCTTGTTTAGGAAATGCTGTCATTATCAAGCCTTCTGAACTATGTGAAAAAACAGCCACGGTCTTGGCCAAACTCCTGCCACAGTATTTAGACCAGGTAACGTTGTCTTGACCCACCTTCAATGTGTCTGCTCACGGGGTGGGGGGGGTTGCACATCGGATCTTCCTGCTGGCACGTGTCATGGATGCCCGTCGACGTGGAATCACTGTGGAGAGGAGCCCTCGTCCAGCTCTCACGGAAAGGCAGCTTCAAAATGTCAGAGCTGCAGGGCCACCTGGGTGGCTCAGTCTGTTAAGCCTTTGACTCTTGATTTCTGCTCAGGTCGATTTCGAGGTTCGTGGGTTCGAGCTCTGCACCAAGCTCTGTGCTGGGTGTGGAGGCTGCTTGGGATTCTCTCTCTCCCCCTCTCCCTCTCTCAAAATAAATACATCTAAACATTAAAAAAATTAAAAAAAAATTTTTTGTTAAAAATTATTAATTAATTAATTTATTTAAGAAAAACATTTTTAAAAAATGTTTATTCATTTTTGAGAGACAGGGACAGAGCACCAGCAGGGGAGGGGCAGAGAGAGAGAGGGAGACACAGAATCCGAAGCAGGCTTAGAACCTGACTCGGGGCTCAAACTCAAGGGCTGTGAGATCACGACCTGAGCTGGAGTCGGACGCTTAACCGACTGAGCCACCCAGACGCCCCACCACCTTTAAAAAGAAGAAAAGAATTATTTGTTTTGAGAGTAAGCCAGCACAGGCAGGGAGAGGGGCAGAGAGAGAGAGGGAGAGAGAGAATCCCAAGCAGGCTGTGTGCTGCCACTGCAGAGCCTGATGCAGGGCTCGAACTCACAAACCGTGAGATCGTGACCTGAGCTGAAATCAAGAGTCGGACGCTTAACCAACTGAGCTCCCCAGGCGCCCCCACAAGCCACCTTTCGTTTTAGGGCCGTATCTCAGAATCTTTTGAGTATGTGAGTCTGTGTTCGTTCCTGGCCATCCGTTCTCTGTCATTTCTCCCCCGGCTGCTGTTATGTCAGATACTCTCTTTCACAATAGCTCTTAATAACAGCACAGTGCACGTAAGGGCTCGGTCCAAAGCTGTGTGACTTCTCCCCGGTAACAAGTGAGGAAACTGAGGCTCAGAGGTGTTCAGCAGGTTGCCCAGGGTCACACGAGCTAGTGAGTGATGGAGCCCAGGTGCGGTCCAGATCTGACTTCAAAAGTGAGTGCTCTCCCCCGCCGCTGCTTCGCACGCCCCTCATTCAGCGGACCTTTACTTGGTTCCTGCCACGGGCTAAGCCCTGCACTGTTGGTCGGGCGAGAACGTTCAGGTTAAGACATTCATCCGGGACCTGTCCTGCGGTCTCTGACGGCAGACTCTTCACCAAAATCTTGAGGTTGCACAGCCCGCATCTCATGCGTTTCCCTGGTCGAATCCAACTGTTGGCTCTCTTTGGCGTCTACCCTGCTGAGCTCAGGTGGAAAACAGTGGACTCTCTGGTCAGTTCCACCGCAGGTTGATGGTTCTCAGATGCCATCGGACTGTGTTCTCCACTTGTCCTCTGTCCGTTCCCTCGTCTTGTCCTCACAGGGGGCGGTCTCCGAAGGCGACAGGTTTATGCTGAAGAAATTGCTCGTCCGAGGATAGGGTTAACGTACCCACACAAGTGCTTGCGTTTCTCCTTCTTGAAGGACCTGTATGTCGTTATCAATGGTGGCGTGGAGGAAACCACAGAGCTGCTGAAGCAGCGATTTGACCACATTCTCTATACGGGAAGCACGGCGGTGGGAAAAATCGTCATGGAGGCCGCCGCCAAGCACCTGACCCCTGTGACTCTTGAACTAGGAGGGAAGAGTCCGTGTTACGTGGACAGAGACTGTGACCTGGACGTCGCCTGCAGGTGAGGCTGTCTGGTTACCCCGGGGGGTTCCCGACAACCTGACGGGTTGATGGATCCTCTTGGCACTGAGACCCTGGGCCCCCCAGCTCTGAGAGACGTCATGAGCCTACGGCGGTTGACGTCCTCAAGGGCGCTGGGACTTGTTCCCAAGCTGACTCTGGTGCCACTGCCAGAAGAGCAGCGTTTCTGGACGTCGCGTGGTTGTCCTTAGGAGTTAGGAAAAAAGTTTTGTCTGGCTGTGGCAGGAGATTTAACTGTTTTGCTGGCAGATGATCCAGGAAGTAGATGAAGTCTCGTGTGTACCTAATAAAATCCTTAAATTCCCAAAAGAAAGGTTGTTGACCTCTTTAACGAGTCCCTTTGTTGACAAACTCAGGATTACTCAGACTCCTGTTTTAACTGAGAGTAACATCGTGCAGGGGCGCCTGGGTGGCTCAGTCGGTTAAGCGTCTAACTCTGGATTTTGCCTCAGGTCACGGTCTCACGGTCGTGGGATCGAGCCCCATGCAGGGCTCTGCGCTGACAGCATAGAGCCTGCTTGGGATTCTTTCTCCCCCTCTTTCTCTGCCCTCTCTCCCACTTGGACATGTTCTCTCTCTCTCTCTCTCTCTCTCTCTCTCTCAAAACAGAGAAAAAAGGAATACCATCTTGTCAGGCTGGGAACCAGAAAACAAAAGGTTGCAGATTCTCTCTGCTAAATCAGGTTCATCTACCAGGGAGCACCCAGACCTAGAACAGACTGCATGTTTGGGGTGGTGTGGCTCTTTTCTCCCCTTCAGAGATGGGCAAGGACGGTTCGTAGGCAATCAGGCCGCGTCCAGGTTGGCTTTGTAAATAGAAGTCTCCTTGCCAGAACATGAGGCCCCCCCAGTGAAGGTTTTGATCCATGTCTGGGCACAGCTTTCCAAAGTGGGGAGGGGCCTCCACAGAGATGCGGGTGTCTTGGAGGCTGGCTGTTGTCCTGCCTGTACCTGAACATCTTGCCACAGCATTTAGAGCCACAACCAGAAGTGGAGTCTGTGTGGAACTCCTGTCATCCCTGCTGTCCCCTTGGCTGAAGTGGGAGAAAAGGAGGGTGCGGGGGGGCTTTCTTTTCTGGAAGCAGGCGCCGTGGCGTCACTGCTCGTAAAGTGCTGTTTCCCATGAGCTGGCACGAGAATTCCCTTCCTCCGTAGAATGTTCTGTGTCAGTTGGAAAATGCATTCTAAGTTCCAACCAACTGATTTAGAGATGAGCTTTACAACATTTTCATTCTCTAAATTTTTTTTAATGTTAATTTATTTTTGAGAGAGAGACAGAGTGAGAGCAGGGGAGGGGCAGAGAGAGAGAGGGAGACCCAGAATCCGAAGCAGGCTCCAGGCTCTGAGCTGTCCGCACAGAGCCCGATGCGGGGCTTGAACTCACCCACCACAAGATCATGACCTGAGCCAAAGTCAGATGCTCAACCGACTGAGCCACCCAGGCGCCCCAGCATTTTGATTCTTTATAAAGAGTATTAAGTAAATCTGTGAGTGCATGCTAGCTGCAAAATACTCAAACAACACAAAAGTGTGTCAAATGAATAGTAGGCTGGATTTTATGGATGTTCTGGTTTCTCCACCTCCCCCCAGGCGCATAGCATGGGGGAAGTACATGAATTGTGGTCAGACCTGCATTGCTCCTGACTACGTTCTCTGCGAACCATCCCTCCAGAATCAAATTGTGCAGAAGATTAAGGAAACCGTGAAGGTTTGTGTTTTAACACATCTGATCTCATTGGTTTTGTTAAGATAATGGAGTCAAATCAGCTCTGTGCAGGCAGCACCCCTGTTTCCCCTCCTCCCATGGAAATTCCCGTAGCACATGTGGCTGCATTCATTTGTGGGCTTATTAAAAACGCCCCGTGCACCTTTCACAGAAGGGTCTGCTAGTAGCCAGGTTAAGTTGGCATTTAACCCACATCAACTGCCTAGTTTTGTTGACGAAACCACGGGTTAGCTGTGGCACGTGCTTTGAAAAAAAGAGTAAATAACTGTGTTTCGTGGTTTTGAGAGAACGTTGCCAGTTCTTTGAAGTGCACCCAGAGGTCCTTCGGCATATTGGTCATTGCTGATTAAGGTTATCCGTTCTTGTGCGTGAGGGGGCGTAGGAAGACCAGTAGTTTAGAGGGGAGAGTTTATCCAGTACCTGTTGGCAGAATACTCTTGACTTGGTTATCAGTCTTTCGAGGTGTTGAAACTCAAGCTCTCTATCGAGGGAATCAGGGAATGCTGCATGGTAGTGACCTGAGCTAAGCATCAAAGAAATGTAGGATTTGGATTGGAAGCAAGGGTTGGGGTGACTGAGCTCACCCGTCGGAAGGGGTCGTTAAGCCCCCTGAGTGGAAGAAATTACTGGCACAGTCATTGTTCACTCAACAGATGCTAACTGAGCACTGGAAGGATCAGGAACACTGAAGGGTAACACACACGATCAGGCAATGGAGAGCGTATATGCTGGGAAGTTTAGAAGAAGAATGGTGATCCAGGCACGAGGGGTGGAAGGTGTTGATGGGGGAATTGGATGTGAGAGCTAGGACTGGAGATGGGGCCAGACAAGGAGAACATGGAATGTGGGGCGGCAGTGTGGGGTTCAGGATACCTATGGCACAGAAAGCCCTTGGAGATTGAAGACGTGCTTAGCTGAGGATGGAAATGAACTCGGTTTCAGAGGAATAAGAAAGATCTCCCCTCTGCCTGCCTTGCGGGCTTTGTATTCTTAAGCGGTTCGTAACTGAGGTTCACCAGGGAGCCATTTAATCAACGAAAAGTTTCTGCTCCTCACCTTGCAAAGACTGTGACTCAGTTGGTCTGGGGTCTCGACGTGACCCTCAGGCACAGCCAGCGTTAACAGCATCATTGGTGGCTCCGGAGTTGGGGCACAGGAACTCGCACCAGCAGGCTGTCACCCAGCCTTGAGGGCATTTGGTTGGAGGGTGGGTGAACGCTTGCTGTGATTGGAGAGCACATCGAGAGCGTTCACAAAGCCTCGAAGTGATGTGGCAATTCAGTAATTTTGTGTTTGTTTTACGTAATTGGTGCCGATCATAGGATTTCGTTTTCCTGGCACCTGTGACTGCTGGCAATACCAGTCCAGAGAAGATGTAAAATAGTGCAGTAGCAGGAAGTTCGGCAAACTTTTTTCCGTAAAGCGCTAAATAGTAAATAGTTTAGGCTTTGCAGCAGGCCACGGGTTTCTGTTACAATAAGCAGGAGGAGGGCGGCCGCAGTCGCATTGTAAACGAAAGGGTGGCCCTGACTCAGAGCCAGACCTCCCCCTACACCCACATTCATCCCCCGGGACAGCCCCCCGGGGGTCTGCGAGGGATCACCATGAAGCCCCCAAACTATGGAGAGTCCTAGGTCTGTGCACGTGTCCTTGACCTGCCAGAAAGCTTAGACACTATTACTTGAGGGAGGAGGGTGAGGATATCAGATCAGGCCCCCCAGATCAGTTTTGGGGGCATGAGCGGGTTTTATAGTTATTAAGGAAATTGACACATGGGTCTTTTGTGGCAATTAAATGCTGTTGTTTTCAATAGGAATTTTATGGAGAAAATATAAAAGAATCCCCTGATTATGAAAGGATCATCAATCTTCGCCATTTTAAGAGGATACAGAGTTTGCTTGAAGGACAAAAGATAGCCTTTGGTGGCGAGACCGACGAGGCCACACGCTATATAGGTAATGGAAATTCACCTTTTGCTGTGGGGACGTGCAGTTTGATGGTTTTTATTGACGCTCTTTACCCATACTAAATAAGCCCTTAGATACATAACGTTCGACCAAAGATTATAGACTGTGGTCTGGTATACTGCTTCCTAACCCATTTCAAGAGGGTTTTACGTCTTTATAAATAACACCACCTGTGGTGCACTGGCTTTTTGCCTCTACACGTTTCATCTGTTTTTCTGTTGGTTTGTTTTCCTCCCTACAACCTGTAACCTAACAACCCTGAGAAGCAAAATAGAAACTCCGTGTGATTATTTCTGGACTCTGGCTGGGAAAACAATAGCACAAGGAAGGAAATCACTTAACTGCAATTTTACAAGTAACCAGTCGCGGTTCTCTTCCAGAAATAACGTGTTGAATCGCTTTCTCAGCCTGTTGGCTAAGATCAAGTGCAGAAATAACGTGTTGATCTGTTGTGCTGGACCTTATTACTTGCGTACTCTGTTTTTGTGTTCTTTTATTCTTTGCCATGAATATGTCTTGTTGTTGACTTTTATTTTTAATTGATTTTTAATGTTTATTTTTGAGAAATTCAGAGCACAAGTGGGGGAGGGGCAGAGACAGAGGGAGAGAGAGACTCCGAAGCAGGCTCCCGTCTCTGAGCTGTCAGCGCAGAGCCCGATGCAGGACTCGAACTCAAGAACTGTGAGATCGTGACCTGAGCTGAAGTCGGACGCTTAACCGACTGAGCTACCCAGGCGCCCCATTGCTATTGAATTTTAAACATGTTGCTCTAAAATAGCATAAGATGATGGGGATTACGGAGACACTTACTTGGCAAAAAAAAAAAAAAAAAAAAGCTGCCCCAAATAGCTTTACTTATCCCTTCTTAGCAGGTCGGATGCTGCACGTCACCAGAAAACCCTAAAACCTTAAAGGGCTTAAAACAATAAGGAAAAGTACATTCTCTGGTCATGAGCCATCCCAAGGCGCTTCTGGCCTGTTCATTTGGTGGCCCAGTAATGGCCTCAAAACCCCCAATTCTTTCATCTTTCTGTTCTCCCATCAGCCATTGCTTTTGCCCACTCCCAGGCCAATCCGTGGCAGGAGGAAAGGTCTATTGTGATTCGCTCAACCAGTTTAGGATCCTCCCCCTGACCTGACGTCAGGGTCACCTTACGTGAGCACATGGCTATGTGGAGAGTATAGACACCCAAACCGAAACGGTTCTCTGAGCCCGGGCAGCGGCGGGCAGTGGGTTTGGGGTAGCCGCATAGGTCCCCCTGGAAGGTGCTGGCGACAGCCGTCTTCTGCCGCATCGCCAGGATATCCTGGCAGGAAATTAGGGGGAAGCGAAGAGGGCAAGCTTGTCATTGTCGAGCGTCTTCCCTTTTCATTGGCGACCCAGCTTGTTTACAGCGTCTTTTGGAGCCCTGTTCGGTGGGGACTGACCTGGTGCGGACGCCCGGACACTCTGCAAAGCTTCGTCAGCATCCATGTTGCTCTCCCTCCTTGCGCCCCTTCCCCACAGCGGATAGAACACTGAACTAAGGGAGCCTTGGCCATTTTAAGTACCTTCTCCTAACCTCTCTAACGGAGTTGAAATAAGGTCAACGAGATCATATGCGTGAAAGCGCTTGAATTAAGAAGTGGTGTTGATTTGATCCACAGAGGGGCTGTCTACACTCCCAAAAAGACCTGTCCACAGAAAGGTGGAAACGTAACCTCCTGGTACATAGGAATATGGCTATGAACAGGGTTAAGTATGAATATACTCAGGCGTGTGGATCTTTCTCTCGGTTTGCCTGGGGATCCCCCGATGCACACGCTCGGAGACACATGCACGGTTCATCCACGTGCGTCCTCGGGACTCTTTTCTCAATAGCTAATACTTGGGCAGGAGTGGGAAGGGGATGGATAGGTGACCCAGCGAAACAAACGGAGGATGAGAGTTTGGCATTCCTGTCTTCTACTTTAGGATTTCATTTTGCGCATTTCTTTTCTCAGCACCAACGATCCTTACCGACGTCGATCCCGAAACCAAGGTGATGCAGGAAGAAATTTTCGGACCAATTCTTCCAATAGTGCCTGTGCGGAATGCCGATGAAGCCATAAAGTTCATAAACAACCGTGAAAAGCCTCTGGCCTTCTACGTCTTTTCTCATAACGAGAAGGTAAACTTTGCGGGGAACGGCTCCCTGGCAGAAGCCGCCACCGCGGACCGTGTCCCTTCTTTGCCACAAAGCAGCGATGGTTTCCACCAAGTGAGGCTTTGTCGCAGCTTGCCGTCTTGGGTAATGAGGCTCTGGGGTTGTTGCTGTAACCTTTCCTATACTCCCTGGGGTTCAGCAGGAGTCTTCAGGGTTATGTCACAAGTTCTTTGACTCGCAAACATCTCCCCTGGAATTGGAAGACTTGCGTGTTCTGCCGTTAACCCACAGGGCTTTCCTGTGTAAGAGCTTTGTCTCTCACCCCGACGGCATTCGAAGCCACTGAAGTGGGCCATGTGGCGCCACGATCTCTGGCGCGGCCGTGGAAATGGTTGCAAAACCTCACACTTCGTCTTTCCAGCGGTATCCCTTTGTTGTTCGAGCGACGGAACCATACCAGCCCAGGGAGCGCGTCATACCCTAGCCAGGGCAAGGCACTGGGCAGCCGCTTTGCTGCGGGGCCTGTTCGTTTGCATTGGAAGGGGACTGGCTCTTGCAGAGGGACAGTGGCCTCAAGGTGGGCAAGTAGGTTCGAGCCCTCTGGAGAAGAGGGAAATCTAGAAAGGGGAGATGGGGATCGGTCAAGGTCTGAGGAGTTCACAGACCACACGTTTTCAGGAGAGCCTCTCATGGCAGCTTCTAGAGCCTGCTGTGCCGCGGAGATGAAGCTTTGTGAAGTGAGATCAGATGCATGGGGCTCAATACAAAATGGGTTATCGACGACGGTCATGACGTTTTAAAGGACCGTAGGTAACGTGGATAGGAACCTTGAAGCAGAAAGTCTGCCGGTCCGGGTACAGGCCATTGTGACATTCATTCTAGAACTCTCAAGCACTTGTTGGTGAGTTTCACCTAGGCAGCGAGGCGAAATTTCCCAGTCAGGTGTCATCGTGCCTGTTCTGGTCTCAGGCCAACCATTTCTTCAAAACTAGAATGTCAGCTCTTTGCAGTTCTCAAAACTAGAATGTCAGCTCTTTGCAATTCCCAAAAACTGAACAGCATCTATTAATTGTATGCCATGATTTAGAATAGAGATAGGGAAATCTTACCAGTGTTTAACAACCAGATATGTAGTCTGAACGGTCCTTTCTTTTTTTTCATTTTTTTTTTTTTTTAATTTATTTATCTTTGAAGGGAGGGGAGGGACAGGGAGAGGGAGACAGGATCCGAAGCAGGCTCCACGCTGTGAGCACAGAGCCCGACGCAGGGCCTGAACCCACGAACCGTGAGATCACGACCCAGGCCGAAATTAAGAGTCGGCCGCTTAACCAACTGAGCCACCCGGGCGCCCCCGGACTGTCCCTTCTAAACGAAGACTTTTGTGGCTCCATCGGGTAGTCCTGCTCTGGGCAGTGATGGAGTGAGCAGGACTGGTTCAGTGCTGCCTCCCTCGAAGGACGAGACGTGCATCTAAGAAGTTAAGATACTGATCACACGTTTGCTAAATTGAACAGCCCGTTAAGTTGTTTACATCTTATGGAACGTTTGGCACAGTGTCCCAAACCCGAGTAGTCGTGCCAGCGCGTGAAGTCAGCAAGTGCAGGTCCCCCATATGCTGCTGACCCGGAGCCTTTGTTCTTTTCCACAGCTCATCAGACGGATGATTGACAGCACGTCCAGCGGTGGCGTCACGGCCAACGACGTTATCATGCACTTCACGCTCACTTCTTTACCCTTTGGAGGAGTGGGTGAGTGTTGCTCTCTGCCCTCCATGGCGTAGATTGCAAATCGAATCATCTGCCCAGGCGGTCTGGGGTCCCCACTCGATGGTGTTCTCCTGAGGGACGCTACCCTGCCAGGCCCCCTGCTGAGGGGTGACTGTGTGTCCTGTCACCCACTTTCCATCCTTAGCACTCACCACAGTCTGGAACTGTTCTACTCCTTTTGTCGACTTACTTGTATGTTGGTTCTTACTCAGTTATTGTCCTTTCCCTAGACTTAGGGGATTTTTTTTTTTGGCTGGAAGTCAGGTCTCAAATTAATTGATAAGGTTCCCCTGTCTTTTTTTTTTTTTTTAATGTTTATTTAAATTAAAAAAATTTTTTTAGTGTTTTTATTTATTTTTGAGAGAGAGAGAGAGAGAGAGAGAGAGAGAATGGGGGAGGGACAGAGGGAGAGGGAGACACAGAATCCAAAGCAGGCTCCGGGCTCCGAGCTGTCAGCACAGAGCCCGACGCGGGGCTCGAACTCCTGGATGGCGACATCATGACCTGAGCCAAAGTCGGACGCTTAACCGACTGAGCCACCCAGGCGCCCCTCCATCTGTCTTTTTCAAGATGAGGTTGTGAATGACAGGTTCAGAATGCCAAGGGCAGGCAGCATTCTGGGGTTTCTGATGTCCGTTTGCTGTCTGCTCAGGGTGGCATTAAGTAGTCCTCAGTCCCCACCTGCACTGCTCCCCAAGCCCCTGGTGTGGGGACTAGCCTCTCCTCAAATTGTCTCGTGATTTGAGAAGAGCACGAGATGTCGTGTGTTCTAGAGAAGACGGGCAGGAAGTAGTCCCAGTGAAGCTCCGTGGACACATGCCCTTTGGGCTGTGACCTGCCTGCCTCTTTGATGCCAGAGATGACGGCTCAACTCTGTATCTTTCCTTCAGGAGGTAGGTGGTAGGCCTCTCTAATAGGTCATCGAAGAATCACAAATAACGAGCGCATAGGAACTCTCGTAATAAAAAGCAGACAACAAAAGCTACCGTCTCGAAAGCTCTGCTGTGTTCTGTCCCTCTGTAAGAGCAGAAGTGAAGTCCCTGGGAATGAAAGGGCTCGTTTTAGCAGGACTACCTGTTCCCAGTCGAGGCCAGCTCCTCCCGTGGCCTGCTTCCGCCACAGGCCACGTGTCCCTTCCTAGGAGGCGAAGGAATCGGCAGTACCCAGCGCAGGGCCGGCATACACGAGGGGCGAGTGGGCAGAGGCCGGGTCAGGGGTCCGGGCTGGTGCGAGAGTGGTGGCTTGGACTTGGGTGGTTGGGGAAAGGGGCTGAGTGGATCCGGGAAGTCGGGCAACAGGATTTGCCTGATGGATTGAGTATGTCGTAGGGGGAGGTGGTGAAGGAAAGGAAGGGTAGCCTGGAGGACCGGGGCTGCCGTGATTCCAGTTTTACTGCCCAGATTCTTAGAGGATGCACTCCGACTCCAGTCTCCCGTTCCTCAGGGCCCCACGGGGTCCCGGTTCCCACCGAAGACTCTCATTGTTCCACCCGGAGTCACTGATGCCTCCCGAGTGCAAGTCGAGTGACGTCTGTTCAGTCCCAACTTGACTACGTGGCATCCAGTGTCATTGATCATACCCTCTTCTTTACAACGAAACAAACCCTTCCTCCTGTTAAATACAAAAGGAATACAGGCTTCTCTCTTTTTTTTTTAATTTTTAAATTTAAAATTTTTTTTTAGGTTTATTTATTTATTTTTGAGAGAGAGACAGAGTGAGAGGAGGAGGGGGCAGAGAGAGAGGGAGGGAGAGAGAATCCCAAGGAGGCTCCACATTGTCAGCACGGAGCCCCTTGTGGGGCTTGAACTCACGAACCGCAAGATCATGTCCCGAGCCCCAGGAATATAGACTTCTTAAGAAAAGAGAGAAGACCCCAAAGAATGTTTAGATTTTCCATACCCCACTATTTAGAGATAACCTTTGGGGCGCCTGGGTGGCTCAGTTGGTTAAGCGTCCGACTCTTAGTTTCAGCTCAGGTCTCTGATCTCACAGTTTCATGAGTTCAAGTCCCACATCCAGCTCTGCACTTGCCTCACAGATCCTGCTTGGGATTCTCTCTCTCTCTCTCTCTCTCTCTGCCCCTCCCCCACTCATACCCCCACAAGCTCGATCTCTCTCTCTCTCAAAATAAACTTAAAAAAAAAATAGTGTTTATGCCTGTATGTTTATGCCCATTCTGTAGTGTTTTATTTGTTTTGGCCCTTTTCCCCTTAAAACCTGTATTACTTTTAGAATTGGGAGAAAAAAGCATTTCACTTTCTAAGCCTTTGTAACACAGCAGTTACACTCTTAGACCTCTTCCCTAGGGAAATAATGAGAAACTGCACAAAAATACATCAGAATCATCACACAAAAAGTGTGGAATCCTGAGACCCTAAGGTGGCATTCGTAGGTTGGAACAGCATGCAGTTACTAACTCGTGACGCACAAGCATACCGATGTGAGAAAATGTCACACGGTGTGTTGTCGCAAACCGCGAGATCATGACCTGAGCTAAAACTCAAGAGTCAGATGCTGAACCGACTGAGCCCCCCAGGCGCCCCCCAGGCACAAACACTATTAACATATTGACAGTTTGGAGTTTTCCTTAAAAATGCATCTCGTTTGGGGCGTCTGGGTGGCGCAGTCGGTTAAGCGTCCGACTTCAACCAGGTCACGATCTCACGGTCCGTGAGTTCGAGCCCCGCGTTGGGCTCTGGGCTGATGGCTCAGAGCCTGGAGCCTGTTTCTGATTCTGTGTCTCCCTCTCTCTCTGCCCCTTGCCCGTTCATGCTCTGTCTCTCTCTGTCCCAAAAATAAATAAACGTTGAAAAAAAAAAATTAAAAAAAAAAAAAAAAATCTCGTTTCACCTATATTGCCAGACTTCTCCGCAGCTTTGGTTGCCCCTAAATGACGTCCCAGCAGCCTGCAAAGTACCAGTAAAGTGCTTCGTGGCCCCGTTCGCCCGTGCCTTATACCCTCGTGGCATACGCACGTAGCTGCCACCCAGCACCCACGATAAGGACGTGAAAACTGTCACAGGGCATGGCTTTTTAAGAAGGCAGAGGTTTATGCTTGCGTATTATCTCTCACCCGGCAGCGGAACCCTGTCATCCTGCCTTGGTTACTCTGTCGCATCTTTGAGGACATTAGTGGGTGAATAAGGGCTGTGGGTACCTAGAGCCACATGGAACAGAAGGAAGAGAGGACACAGTGCCGAAGAGTCCAGCTGACCTGGACTCAGCGTTCTGGCTTCGCATTCCGCACCTTGGGCAGGTTACCCGACCGGCCAAGCTCCCTTTCCCTGCCTGGAACTGGGGGCAATGGTGACTTTGTACAGTGGGGTTGTGGTGGGAACGAACACAGTGTGGTCTTTGGTATCAGGGAGAGCCACTGCCGGAGAGCGGCAGGTCCTGGCTCGACTCCTGGGAAGCGTCCTGTTTTGTCTTGTTGTTAATGTTTATTTTGTTTTGAGAGAGCATGAGCGGGGTCGGAACAGAGAGAGGGGGAAAGAGAGAGAACCCCAAGTGGGCTCTGTCCCATCAGCACAGAGCCCGACGCCGGGCTCGACCCCACGAACCGCGACATCATAACCTGAGCCGAAACTGAGTCGGACGCTCAACCGGCTGAGCCACCCAGGCGCCCCGGAAAGCGGCCTGTCTGACAGGGAGGTTCACCTTGCTGGGGGTCCTGGGGGCGCTGGGAGCAATTTCCCGGAAGAGCCACTCGCGCTGAGAAGCGAGAGGGGGGCATCCCCGGCGGCAGGAGCTTTGTGGCTTTCTTGTGGCTTGTGTCACCTCCAGCGGAGCCTGTTTTGCTTCCTCTCTTTCAGGTTCCAGTGGGATGGGCGCTTACCACGGCAAACATAGTTTTGATACTTTCTCGCATCAACGTCCCTGCTTACTGAAAACTTTAAAGAGGGAAGGTGCTAACAAGCTCAGGTACCCTCCCAACAGCCAGTCAAAGGTGGATTGGGCCAAATTTTTCCTCCTGAAACGCTTCAACAAAGGAAAGCTCGGTCTCCTGTTACTTGCTTTCCTGGGCATCGTGGCGGCTGTGCTTGTCAAGGTAAGTCCCCGCCTCTCTGGTCCCACATGGCTGCCACATGCGCGTCTTCTGTCTCAGGAGTTCCTCTGATTGTAGAAATCCGACTCCGTCTCTTAAATTAACCTTGAGTCTGGGACAGGGTCCGCGAACTCCCAGCCTGCCGGCCCGTCTTGCCAGGGGAACAGCCACAACCCCTCACTGACTCGTTGTAGCGAGAGTGGAGTCCTTGGGACAGGTGGCTGTGTGGCTCGCAGAACCTAAATGATTCCAGAAGTGTGCCCACCTCTGGTTTAAGAGTGTAAGGCCCTGTAGGGGCGCCTGGGTGGCTCAGTCGGTTGAGTGTCTGACTTCGGCTTGGGTCACGATCTCGCAGTTCGTGAGTTTGAGCCCCGCGTCAGGCTCTGTGCTGACAGCTCAGAGCCTGGAGCCTGTTTCTGACTCTGTCTCTCTGTCTCTCTGTCTCTGCTCCTCCCCTGCTCGTGCTCTGTCTCTCTCAAAGATAAATTAATAAAAAAAAAAAAAAAAAAAGAGTTTAAGGCCCCGTAGAACTTGTCACACTCTGAGCTGTTCAGCCCTCTGATCCTTCTGCCTCCCGCATGTCCGTGTCAGTCGTGTTCTCGAGTGTGCCTGGGGTCAGCAGGCCGTGGAGACAAAGGAGAGAATTGCACGGCAGCCAATAGCAGTGGTAGGACAACTTTGGCGAGCGAGGCGTGGAACGTGTTTCCTCCAAAGTTAACTCTGCCACATACGTTCTGTCTTTGGCGATTAGTCATCGTAGACGCGGGCTCACCACCCGGCCCTCCTGAGAGCTGGCGTCCCGAGGCGGTCCGCATATCCTTGGGCTGAGGGAACAGAGCCAGGATTTTGGAAGTTAAGGTGGAGTAGGGCAGGGCGACCGTGTCCCTGGAGCCCCCGGCCAGCCCGCTGACGAGATGCGTTGAAAATAGCGGCAACACTCGTGGTCAGCAGCCTCGGAAAAGGGGCGAGATTCGAGCGCTGAATAGAAGGTGGCTTGTTCACGTCTGTGTTTTTGTTTCAAGGTCAAAAAGGGGGTTGGCTTGTCTTAAACGAGTGTCACAGCTTTGGTGGAACTGGAAATACCAGTTGCATTTGAAATCGTTTGGGTTTTCTCAGAAATACCAAGCTGTGCTGAGGAGAAAGGCCCTGTTGATATTTCTGGCAGTTCAGACTCTGTCGTCCAGTAAGCAGTGATGAGAGCCGCAGAACTCAGGACCCAGCTCTGTCTGTTAAGAGTGAGGTAGGAACTGCTTGTTTTCTCTCTCTGTAAAGTGGGCCAGGCGGGGGTATGTTTTCTTCTAGTGGTTTCTGTATAGCTACAGGCTTAGGGGTTATCGAACCAGTGTTTCACCTCTCTGTCTCCAGACATTTTGGAGCCTGGCCCAGCATCTCAGGGCATCAAAACTTACCCGTACCGTTGAAAGGGCGGGGGTGGTTCGCGGGGATCTTAAAAAACGTGTGGAGGTAACGTGGCCCGGCTAGGTCCAGACGAAGCATGCATCGTTTCTAGAAGAGGAGTCACGTGAGCTCCTCCCCGCTCCTCCCCATCTACTCAGCTCTCCCAGAGGACGTGCCCACTGACCAGCTCAGATCTATAAGAAGCACACGGACACAGTGAACGCTCTGTTTTATAATTTGAGGCTTATCTTCTAAAACTCTCCGAGTCCCATTTGGTTCTGCGCTGTTTCGGTGTTTAACAAGAAGTCTGGCTTTAGAATTCATGGTGGCAGACTGAGCGAATCAAAACCTTGTGTGCAGCTGGGAGGCTTTCTGTTCCTTCCTCCGCATCGTCCTGAGGTCTCAGGTGTGCTCGGCTCTCTGGCCCTTACCTGCCTGTCATCTCTGATCCCAGGACATCAGTCCCCAGCCTGACACACACCTTCTGCCTGGGGATGGAACTTCGTAGCGCCGTGGCAAATTCGGAGGCTGACTGTGCTCCCCCTCTAACCCAGGAAGGTTCCCACTGCCGCAGCGCGCTGGGCCAGGCCGGCGGGGGCAGGCCGGGTGGCCCGTGTGAACTCCCAAAAGGGTTTGGCGGACAAGCCTCTCTCTGATACGATCTAGAGAGGCAGCAGTGGGTAAAAACATGGACCCTGGTAACAAGAAAATGTGGCTTTAATTCCTGGTTCTGAGATCAACAGATTTCTGACTCTGAGCAAGGCCTTTTCTGAGCCCGCCTTGGGGCCTCGCTTGGCTTACTCGTCTCTAGGACAAGGGCAGCCTACAGCGATCTCCCAGGGCGCCCCTCAGTTCCCATTACCGTGGGCTGACGTGTCCGTGGTCCACACCGCTTTGGATTCAGTGTGAGACCGCTCAGGATCTGGCTTTCCCTCTTCGCTGCTTCTCTCTGAGCCTCTCTGTCCTCTTTCCCAAATCACCTCTTATTTTAAGTAAGTGATTCTAAGCTCAGATTGTGCTTTTGTTGGAGGAGTCTTTATTTATTGCAACTGCAGTCATTTTTTTCTGAAACGGCTTTTCTGCACTTTGTGATTCTGTTACACGCTTGGATGTGATTTCATTAACTCTCTTTACCACAGTGAGGATGGTCTTGGAACGTTTTTAAATGGGAGATTGAAAGTAGTGATTATTAGTCTAAAGGGAACAGGTCAGTCTCAGAGTGGAAAGGAGTGTTCCGAAAACATTTAAAAGGTGTGTGTGTGTGTGTGTGTGTGTGTGTGTGTGTGTGTCTACACGTCTACACAAAATAAAGTTCCTATAAAGCTTAAGCCACCAAAAGCCTTGCAGGAGGTATGGGTGTTAAAACGTTGAAAAGCATGGAAGGTTTAAAATTGATAGATGTCATCAGGCCCTTGAAAATGAACTACGACAGACTCTTGAGATGGCTGCCAGAACTCGTCCGGGCTCAGTAGGTATGGATTCTATTCGATACTGCTTTGGACTTCAGAAACGAAAGTGTTGATCCATTTCCAGACTTCACGTAGAGACTTCAGCTCCCCACGCACAACAGGAGGATAGTAAATGAGTGTTTTCCACTCCTGTGTCAACCCCGCTGTCGTCTCACTGATAACAGACAACACTGCCTCCGTCGCCACCTTGTTACTGTCGCTTTGCAGGGAAGGCCCTAATCTTTTATCAGCCCAGACTGCGTTTACCTTCTTAGGGACACAGGGACCTTTTGTATACAGCACATTCAAGCATCTCTTAAAATAGCAGGCATTTGATAGAGTCCCGATACTGAGTTTGTGTTCCAGGGCCGGTTGCGTGGGGGTTTTAAAGCAGCAGCAGAGTAACCTGGCTTCCTTTCTCCTCTCTCTAGGCGGGATACTACTGAAGAAAGATCCTGTTCAACCTCCTAGTTGCCTGTACTGAATTATGCCTCTCTTAAACAGTTAACGAACCATTTTAAAATCCTGCCAAAAATAGGAAGGAAATATGCAAATGCACCCTAATCAAGCCTGCAAGTCATTGCCACTCACCATTAATAAAACTTCCCGTTTCATCTGACACCCCCCCCCCAGCCTTCCCCCACTGTGGGGGTACACTCAGAGAACGTCTTTTACGTTGTGTTCCTCAGCTCGCGGTGGGGGGTGGGGTGGGGGCGGAGAAGGTACTAGGCTGACTCCCAGGGAGATGTAAAAGGAGTCTCTGAACCTGTTGAGTGACTTCTTACTCCAGTTCATGGGACACAGGACCCCCCCACCCCCCCACCTTCCGCCATCACTCTGTGAAGCTTCCAGGGGGCTCCTCCCTGCCCGGGGTTATCAACAGCCCTCTGTAGCCCACAGAGGTGAGGAAAGATCTTCCCAGCCCTGCCTGAGGTTTGAGGCACCGGATCTGTGTGTTGGGGATGGGGGGAGGTCCCTGTCCCTCACCCACTGGGTGGTGGTCCCGTCCATTCTCCACCCTCTCTTGTATTTGGTTTGTGACAGTCTTTTGTGGCCATCCGCAGATGCCTTCTGTAACTAACGCCATGCAAGACTTCCCACAGATCCCAGGGCTTCCAGGGAAGACAGTTGCCAATTTCCATGCAAGTATCACCCGTCATTCTTACTGGGCAGGAGTTGTAGAATTCTGCATCTTATAAAACCTAACTGGCACTTTTATTATGCTGTAATAAAATTACTTACAACAACACTTATTCTCAGGGGCACCTGGGTGGCTCAGTCGGTTGGGCGTCTGACTGCAGCACAGGTCACAATTTCGCAGTTTGTGAGTTCGAGCCCCGTGTCGGGCCCTGTGCTGACAGCTCAGAGCCTGGAGCCTACTTTACATTCTGTGTCTCCCTCTCTGTTCCTCCCCAACTCATGCTCTTTCAAAAATAAATAAATGTTGGGAAAAAAAAAAAAAAAAAAAAACCACCTCTCAGGATCTTAAAAGTTTCAAGTCAGTGGATCTTCAAGGACAGATCTTTTAAGTTTCTTATTTCCGTAGCACAATGCAAAGAAATTTCACTTTTTTAAACTTCAGACCGATCCCTTTTTGAATAAATTCAGCCTTCTGGACTTAACGTGGAAAGCCATTTCCTGTCACGGGCCAGAGGCCTTGGATATTCTGGACTGTGGAGCTTGAGAGCCTCAGGGGGGCTGACGGTGGAACATTTGGAGGACTGTGTAAGCCACGGTGTCCCGCTGGAAGAGAAGGGGACAGAGGACACAGGCAGGGGATCTCCTGAGCATGGCTGAGACCTGAGGGACTTCAGCCAGGGTGGGAAGGAGCCCTGTGGAGTGCAGCCTCCCTGCCAAGCATTGGTGACTCCTGGCTACGGTGCCCCCCCCCCCCCCGCCACGTGAGAGAATGTAATTCACTTTAGAGAACGTGTAACCAGCTGCCTTGAATGAATCTGTCCCAGGGAGGCTGTCTGAAGTTCACTGTCTTCATCACAGGATGCAGTGTCAATCACTAGGCTAGTTTAAGATGTCAGGATTGGGGCGCCTGGGTGGCGCAGTCGGTTAAGCGTCCGACTTCAGCCAGGTCACGATCTCCCGGTCCGTGAGTTCGAGCCCCGCGTCGGGCTCTGGGCTGATGGCTCGGAGCCTGGAGCTTGTTTCTGATTCTGTGTCTCCCTCTCTCTCTGCCCCTCCCCCGTTCATGCTCTGTCTCTCTCTGTCCAAAAAAAATAAATAAACGTTAAAAAAAAATTAAAAAAAAAAATGTCAGGATAATCGGTCACGAAATACCTTAGACGAAATTTCAATACGGAGCTTTCGTTTAGCACGTTATATTGTGCCCTGTGATTTCTAGTTACGCTAAATCACTGGCTTGTCTGCTACTGTGTTCTGCTGCAAAATAAATACGTCATATTTGATAAAAGTGGCATGAATTTTAAGATTCCTAGTGGGGAACCTCTTATGTCCCGATAGAGACCATTCTTTGGCTGGAAATTTTGCCCCAATGGATAAATCCATTTTTTGCCTTCATCTGTTCAGAGGTGGTATTCATCGACTTTAAGTCCTGCTTTCTCCCTGAAATTCTTAGCCAAGAAGATCTTCTCCAGCTCTGCTTTCTCTGTCCCTTACAGGTTTTTATTTTTTAAAGCACCTGTGGAGTTTAGGGTTTTTCCAGCTAAGCCCTCCTATCCCCATTTGCCAGTCTAAACCAAGTGTTTCCGTAACAGTACTCCAGGGACACGAATTCCATAAGGTTTTACACAAAAACTGATCCCACCACCCCATCCTGTGTGTCAGGATTTGTAAAGCACACTAGCATCTCAAAGGATCCGAGTCCTGTAGAACCTGTGTGGCGTTTGGTGGGGGTCGTTTCCCAAACTTCCTTGACCGTGGAACCCTTTTCTGGAGATCCTTGTTCAACCTTAGGGCACCTTTGGGGAAACGACACCATTGCTTGTCTGTGCCCCGTCCTCAGTCATTTTGTTTGGTCGCCAGAAGCTCACTAAGGTGTCAGTATCACGGACAAGGGTATCAGCTTCTTCCTCCCTGTGAGCGGGAGGCCCGGACTGTCACCAGGTAACCGAAAACAAAATGAATTCATGTTGACTCTTCAAACAGGGATTACATCCTGTGTGTACTTTTTTTTTTTTTCATTGGCTTTGATCATTTTGTTTGTGAACGTGTGTAGAGCCACTGATGCCTAAGGGACTGTGGCAGCGGAGGCCAGACTGCCTCCACTTTGGATGACAGCGTGCGGCCTGAAAATATTCGGCAGTCCCAGGCCACAAAGAGAAGCAGCCTGGAATTTGGGTCGGCGTTGCATTCACCCCCGGGCTGCACGGCCAAGCGATCGATCTGGTTTTGCTCCTCTTGCTTCTTTCTACCCCATCGCTGCTGTAAGAACAAGGGTTTCTCAAGGTCTGTGATCAGCACAATGCTGATGGAATGAAGGGTCTATGGACGGCCACCTGCCCCTTCGGGGTTGCCAGTGCCTGGATCTGCAGGGGCCCGTGGGGCACAGGGCACATGGGGGGGTGTGGCGAACCGGGCTGCCCATGCAGGGCCCATGGGCCCCCTTGTCCAAGCTTCTCAAAGGTTTTGTGAACAGACGGGGGCGGGGGAGGCAGACTCACCTAGGAAATATGTAGCTTTTAATTGGGTAACTGGTTTTTTAAATTGTGTCTTGATTTGAAATCCCCCGATTTGAAGCAGCCCCAGGATTGTCCCTCTCCGGTCGGCTGACGTCCTCTTAAAGAGCAGAGCAGAGAAGGCCAGGTCGACAGAACCGTCACGTCACACAAGGCGCCGGCTGAAGGTTTTGTTTTTGAGGTGCGGTCCAAAGTGTACATCCACCCGCACTGGATCCCCAGGGTGCTGTGGTAGGGGGACCGGTGTGGAGACCTGTGGGTGCGGCCACCCTTGGCCTCCTTTCCGTCTCCGAGCCGCTCGGCTAGTGTCTGGTGGTCAGGACCCGGACGACCAGCCCGGCCGTCAGCATGCCTGACGCCATCCCCAGGGCGGCCCCGCGGCGGATGGCCAGCTGTCTGGCTGACAATCTGCTGGCCGGAGCTGGAAGGGCCTGGGCCACCTCCGGAGTCCTGAAGAGGTCCAGGTGGCTCTCGGGCCTTGAATATGTTGTCAGGGTGATGCCAGGAGAGGCACCCGTGGCCACTGCGGAGGCAAACGGGAGCAGTCAGCGGCGCCGGGGGCCTGGGAGACAGCTGTGGCCTTGGAACCAGGAAGCCTGGCTGCCTTTGTTACGCTGGGTGCAATAATGTGGGAAAACACCTTAACACGCGAGCGTGACGCAGAGAGAAAGCTGCCCGTAAGATCACGTGAGGCGCGTTCCCGTCTGAGCCTTGTGATGACACGCGATGGCGTGTCACTCCCACACGTGCCTTCGGAGCACATCTTAAACGCTCAGACGGTCGGACCTCACCTTCGTCTCTCGTGACGCTCTAGGCTCCCGGAGTGTTTGTCAGCTAGCTCGCTGCTGCGCTGACGACGGCAGGGCCCCGGGGGAGATGAGGTCACTGGATAAGTGAGGGCTCTGGGCTGTGGATACCCAGACCTGGCGCCCCTCACCAGCCCGGGACAGGAGGGCCCCTGCGCCTCGGGCCGAGGCCATCGCTGCATCGCAGACACGCTGGATATACACCAGAGGTGCCCGCCTGTCTGATGGGGTACAGAGAGGCAGGCAGGGGAAGTGCCCCCCCCCCCACCAGCTGGTCCAGCCAGGCGGACCGGCCGAGACCCAGCTGTTGTAGGCCGGGATGTGGCCTTCTGGCCCGGGCTGGGCTTCCGTGGTGAGCACGTGCCCTTGAGTCTGACGGGCCCACACTGGGATCATCTCACCTTTTCCAGTTGCGGGACCATCGTCCGGGGAGAGACCTAAGCTCTCAGCCTGGCTCCCTCACCCGAGGATGGGGCTACAGCTGGCTGCCTCACGAGGCTAAGGACGTGACGTGCTTCACGTGGGGCCTCTGAGTCACAGGGAGTGGTGTCGTCTTCCTGGCGCTTAGAACACCATGTTTGTGCCAAGAAGAGGACCGGCAGCTTGGACTCGGACTTGCCCGGGGCACGCAAGAAAGAGGCTGCCACTGGCGTTGGGGCCCACCCGGCTGAAGCACTGCGACAACGTTACCTGAAGAGGTGACGGCTTCTGCAGGCCCGGGTCGGGAGACCGTGGCCACCGTGCTGTCAGTGCTCTGCGGCAGCAGTCCGGCATGTTTCTGGGCCTAAAAGAGCAGATTCGGGGTCTTTGAGAGTGCACCCCCCCCCCCCCTCTCTGCCTTCAGGCCCGGCCGTCACCGTTACTGTGTCTGAGAAGCAGGCACGGGCCTGCCCTGTTTATTTTTTTAATTTTTTTTTTCAACGTTTATTTATTTTTGGGACAGAGAGAGACAGAGCATGAACGGGGGAGGGGCAGAGAGAGAGGGAGACACAGAATCGGAAACAGGCTCCAGGCTCTGAGCCATCAGCACAGAGCCTGACACGGGGCTCGAACCCACGGACCGTGAGATCGTGACCTGAGCCGAAATCAGACGCTTAATTGACTGAGCCACCCAGGCGCCCCTTGGCCAAACTTTTTAAACAGGGCAGGCCATGGGGCGCCTGGGTGGCGCAGTCGGTTAAGCGTCCGACTTCAGCCAGGTCACGATCTCGCGGTCCGGGAGTTCGAGCCCCGCGTCGGGCTCTGGGCTGATGGCTCAGAGCCTGGAGCCTGTTTCCGATTCTGTGTCTCCCTCTCTCTGCCCTTCCCCTGCTCGTGCTCTGTCTCTCAAAAATAAACATGAAAAAGAAAAAAAAAATGGCCAAGAAGATGTTGGACAGAGTGATGGTGTTCCCCCTTCCAAAGTCGGGCACACACTCTTGGGGGCTCATCCGGGTTCAGACTAGTTTGAGCTCTTTGCTTTGGTTTCAAGCAGCTTGGGCTGGCCGTGGAAGCTTCTTGGTGTGTGTGCCTCTCCTTGAAATTAGACCGTATCCTGGCACTGTCTGGGGTCCAGTTACGGTGCCCGGAGATGTTGAGGCTGAGGGGGCCCCTCCGTGACCCCCCACCCTCCCAGCTCATCCCACAGGTCACTACTGCTGAGGCCTGACGTGCTCTGAGCATCTCCGCATGCTCACCTCCTCTGCGGCTAGCTTCCAGTCCATCCGGGCAGTGTAGACGGCAAACGCAGCAGCTCCCAGGAGGCCGCAGGCCAGCATGCCCAGCCAGAGGCCTGGGGGAGACAAGTGACAAATGGGGACAGCGTCCTCCCAGGCCTCCCCCCACTTTCCCTCACAGCACATACCCATGATTCCCATTCTGACCACAAAGGTCAGAACAATGCCCAGCGGGAGGCTGATGACATAATACATGATCATGTTCACGACGGCTCCAAAGGCCTGCTTGCCGCTTCCTCTCAGAACTCCGCTATAGACGCACTGGGAGGGGAGGCAGAAAGGGGCGAGAGGTGGGCGTGAGCCTGACAGCAGGGATCCTGCAGCGGGCTCTCTTCTAAGCCACTCATGTCGCACGGCTTGATTTCACTCTAAGCCCAACGATGGTGCTCTTGTCCCCATCCGTGGGGAGACCGAGTCGGGGCAAGTCACTTGCCCACGGCTGCACAAGAGTAGTTGTGTCTTGAACACAACTCCAGAGGCCCCGTCTTCCCCTCCACACTAGGACTGCTTCTCTAGAAAGTCAAGGTAAAATTGGAAACCGACCACCAGCTGGCCCCGGAGGCTGGACTGACGTCACACAGAGTTGTGTTGCCTTGGCAGTGCTGCTGTGGCAAATTACTGTAGATTAGTGGCTTGGAACAAGACACGTGCACTGGTTTCTGGTCCTGGAGGTTACGAGTCTGAAATGGGTCTCACCGCCCTCTAGTCAGGGCGGGTTCCTTCTGGAGGCCCCTGCGGAGAATTTGTGTGTCTTTGCCTTTTCTGGCCTCTACAGGCAGCCCTGCATTCCCGGCCCCCAGACAGCGGTGGCATCGGTCCACCCTCTGCGGCTGTCGTGGTGTTTCCATCTCCTTCTGTCTCCCTCCCTCTCTCGCCTGTGAGAACCCTTGTGATTACTTTGGGTCATCTGGATAATTCACGATAATCTCCCCATCTCAAGATCTTTCACTTAATCACATCTACAAAGTCCCCTTTTGCCACCTGACATTCACAGGTCTGGGGATCAGGATGTGGAGATCTTTGGGGGGGGGGGCATCATTCTGGATACCGCACGTGGCAAACAAAGGTGTCATCTGTTCCAGATGAGACACGCAATCCTTGCTTGCTCCTGTCCCCATAATGCTCACGGACAAGAACGACTTTGGAGAAAGCACTAACTGTTTTATTTTCCTAGGGTCATCCTCCCAGCCTGATCTCAGAGCTGATGAACTAAAGAGCGACAGGCACAGCTCATGCTTGGTCAGTGCTACTGACGAATAGCTATTTGGTTATTTTCATTTTGTTAAGATAAAGGATGTGGAGCGGGGCGCCTGGGGGGCCTCAAGTCGGTTGAGCATCCGGCTCTTGGTTTTGGCTCAGGTCATGATCTCGTGGT